GGCTGCCCTGGCAGCAAAGGAGCTGGATTACACAGAAGAAAACCTCCATTCCTGCATCCTGGGAGCTACCATTTCCTTGTCACCTCGTCCGCTTGAAAAGATGTGGCCTCTAAGTGCAATCATCCAGTTCTGGCCACTTGGACTAGTTCTATCTACTGCCCCCTTGGCAGTGGGTGGGTTTCGAAGAGACCTGTCCCGTCTGGCATGCTTGAAAATACCTCACCGGACCAATGGGTACACCATGAAGAGCACTCTGTTCAGCTGCGGTGTCACCTCCATTAGAGCACTCCCACAGGTAACGCACCAAGCGCTGACACCGCTTCCAAGTCAGCAGCATGGCTGACACAATGACAGAGCTAGTGAGATTTACTGTCCAAACATGGTCTCCTGTGCGTGAGCCACTGCCCACAGCTGAGGGAGACAGGATGGTCCTGTAGCTTAAGGCACAGGACTGGAAGACTGCCTGGCTCAACCAGGCCTATGACCACGGACATGTCACTTAGAATTATCGGTGCAGTGGGCACAACTCGTTCACTTTACCAGGATGCTGAGGGTTAATATATTGTCTGAGGCACTGAGGGGGAAGATGCTTGTGGAAGTGTTAAGTATAGGCACATAGCATATGCTAAGGAAACTGAGACACCAAAGCTTTTGAGAAATCAGTTCAGTGTGTTGCCATCCTCTCTGTTACCAGCAGCGATCAAATTGAGGAAAGAGTCCATTAGGTAACACACAAAGAGCATGACGCAACCCCCCACTGGCTTCTCCATAACTGCTCTTTGGTTAAAAGCCTAGCTCTGTATGATCCTGTTCCCCAGCATGAAATCAACTCCGCAGCATCATAGGACACGTAGCATGAAGGGACACTTGTGCAAGATGATTGTGTAAAGCACCCTGGGAGCCCGAGGTTCCACGCACTAGTTTACCGCAGCCATGCACATTGGAGTTCAAAACCAAAATCCCCTATTTAAAAGCATTGTAGTGTAGCCACTACTGGTTCTAGTGGCTTATTGTACAAATTCATCTCAGCTGTAAATCCCCCAAAGTCTGAGGCACAGATTTCACCACCCTAACTTAAGGGTGAGCAGTATTTACTCACTCTGCAAGTAGTTTAGCTTCAATGGGCTGCAGGCTGAATAAGGTGCTACTTGCTAAGCGATGATAGCACACCGAGGCCAGTAGGCAGCTGACAATTTTTCCCCAACAACTAAAACTCATTTTCTTTTTCTTCCTAGGGCTCTGTCAAATTTCATTGCAAGAAGTCTCCACTGCCTCATGCAAACATCAGTCCGCACACCCAAGCTTGTACCATCACTGGATTCAACCAAATCTTACTTGATAAGAAAAAACTGCTCACTACATAATGTGGATTTGGGGGCATCTTAAGTATTTATTGCACTTTTTCCTTCAAGGAAGGACTTCTTCCAAGAGGCTGCTTTTAAATGTTTTAATCTAGCTACATTTTTTCTGCTTGAGATGGAGCAAGTTAAAAATATCTGCTGCTATATTCAAGCCTTAATTTTTTTTCCCTAGTAGACACTTTTCTAAGTATAAGGTTACAGGTATATTAACTGTTAACACTTCCTCCATTACCTAATGGAGAAAGAAAGAAATCTGCGCTCAAACCAAGAAAACACTATAGTAGAACTACAAACAATCAGAACAACCTTTAATAGGCAGGGATGTTAAATTAAATTTAACTGACTAGTCGATGGATTTTCCATCAATTAGTCGATAAGCAGGGGCAGTCACAGTGGGGTTTAAAATGTCCATTTAAATGTATTTAAAGAGGCTGGTGTACAGCAGAGGACCCTGCACAAGCCGGGAATCAGCTGTCCCAGCTCACGCTGGGTCCCTCCTGCTGTGTTTTAGCTTTTTAAATGTATTAAACGCTGAGAGGCACAGAATCTGGGACTGGCAGTGAGCCGGGAACCAGGGCCCCGCTCCCCTCCACCGGAGATGGTGCTGGGGGAACCAGCTCCTGCCTCCCCCCACCTTGATGCCTCTGATAGAGACAGCAAGGGTGGGAGGAAGTGACTAGTTGACTGATTGATAAGCTTTTGCTTATCAGATAGTCAGCTAGTCACTTATATCCCTATTAAAAGGGCAAAAAAAAAGTTGGAAAAATTTAATGTAAAATTTCCTTTTCAGCATGTCACAGTACATACCCGAAGCCAACAAGAAATCTGAACACTATTGTTTAGAAGCACCACCCCCAGTAACCATGCAGCCATTTGCCTGGAGTACAGCAGGTTTCTAATGCAAGAATTTGTGGAGCTTAGTGCTGGACATAATTATCTCAGGAAAAGTCGGAATGCAAGATTGGGCTCGCTGTTTCTGACCAGTTGAAGAAAAATGAACATGCTACTTTTGAACATTTAGATTGTATTGATCCAAACTCAGATGTAGATCAAATATAAAAAGTTTCACACTCAAGATGCTGCTAAGATTGCAAAGAGCCCCTCGTTGTTGCATCTCTCTCCAACACTAGCCTCACAGGTTAACACAGGAACCTTTGGCGTGACAGAGAAAAGAGTTTTTTCTTGTTTCATCGGGCAGGGAAACGGATGTATTTCGTTTTGTTACGCACATGGCATTTTAATAAATATCTCGCACAGCTATCTGAATTCTAATGTCTCAGCCAGGTTGTCAAATATTTGAAAGATCAAGTTAAATGCTGGTGGACTTGGTCTAATCTTTCTCTCTTATACTCTTGACGTCAGCAATTCCCAGCACAGCCCTGTTGGCAAACAAACTGTCACTAAAAGAAAGATCCAGCACTAAAACACTATTCCTGCTAGTACATGCACACATATACCTCTCTCCCATCAGTACTTTCAGCCACCTGTGACAAAAGCTTGCCCTGTGACAAGACTGGAGGTGAGACAGCCAGGCGTTCTACCTTGAGTAAAGAATATACCTGAGGCTCTTTCAGCAAAGCACAGCGTAGTAAAATGTCTCTTCTGTTACAGAAAAATTCATGATGAGCTATCTGTTCCCGAACAGTCTCTCAGTCCAGAGGAAAATTCTCTTTCTCCAGAGGTTCAACAACTCTCAAGCAGCAGTCCGCAAACTCCACAAACAAGGGCTCTTGCATAGATGTTTTCATGAGGGACTCTTTTTCTTTGGCTTCGTCTATCGTTCGCAGCAATTGCTGCAGGTGAGGGTTGAGTAGTAAGCTTTTCAGTTCTTTAGACTCTCCTATTCAAAAAATAAATACTTTTAGAAGAAAAATGC